AAAATATTATGGGCCATCATAAATAAAATTATTATTATTATTTAGAGGATTTTATTTGCCACCTACTAAATTATACCTGGTATTTTCTAATTTTTAAAATACTTTTGTTACTATTTACCTCTACAAAAATTATATTTGTTAAAAAAAAGTCACTAATTAGTTAAGGGGTGAAAATTGAAAGTTTCGGTATCCATAGTGAAAATTCTGGTATTAAATTATGTTTTTTATCATAAATTATTTGCGTTTTTAAAATTTTCGGTGGTGATTTATCGGAAATTTTAAAATTTTTGATGAATATAAAAAAACTAAATAAATCTATCGGAAATTTCTGGGACGAAACATAATTTTTTTTGTAATACCAGCAATATTGCATAAACTTGAAATTTCTGGTATGGCTGCATATAAAATTCTTTATTTGGGTGGTTCAAATCTGACAACTTCTTCTACGAATTTCTGTATAAATTTTACGGAATTCTTCACCACAGATATCATATGTTTTCTATTAAATTAATGTAGTTTTAATTACTTTTTTTATCCTTTATGAAATTGATAGTTTAATAATTATATATTGTAATGGATAGAATTTTAACTATAGATATGAAGTTTTAGCATGGATATAGTCTACTCGTAAACAACATGGTATTATTGTTGTAACTATTTATTCTGATTCTACTAATGAAATACGGGAGAGGAGGGATAAATTAATTATAGGTTGTGAGAGAGGATGAAATTACAAAAGTAAAAATGCATTTGAAAGCAATAATTCCTCTTATGATATTTATAGTGTGAAGTTAAATACCTGTTTATGTTGAGATTTGTTACAAGTGGTATCGGTTGAAAGGTGATGGTTAGATGCGAGACGCACAATCATAGGATAGATAGGAATTTGGAAGGTCATGCCAGATTGGGTTATCTAAAAGATCATAAAAGAAATGTTGTGAATGACATGACGAAGTACAATATGGTTCCAAGGTACATAGTTTCTACTTTGAAAGACAAAAATCCAAAAAACCTCACGAGTATTACGTATGTGTATAAAGATAGATATCATAAAGAGAAATAGGTGTGTTGGACAAGAAATAGGAACAATTCAGATATTGTAGCTGATATCTTTTGTACTCATCCTGATTATGTGAAGTTGTTGAATATGTTTCATATGATATTAATATTTGATTGCACATACAAGATAAATAGGTAAGAACTTTCCTAATTCACATCCTAAAATTTATTGTACATGTTGAGTGAGCTGTTTGGTTATGTGCATTTTGATCGTGCGAGTACCAGATACCACTGCTTGAGATTATTAGTTTTACGTCAACGAAGTTGACGTTTTTAGTTGCCTTTGCATATTTGGAACATTAAAGGGAGGACAATTTCACATAGACACTGGAGAAGGTCAAAGATTTGTTCTCTTCAGAGAAATTGCAATCAAAGGTTGTGGTGATTAACTGAGAACTTGCATTGATGAATGTCATGAAATATGTGTTCTCAAATGCAACTCTTATGTTGTGCTTATCCCATATTTTAAAAAATGTGAGCATGAAATATATTCTGGACGAAATTGAACATTGTAGAACATGAGGTTATTTATGATGAGAGTAGTACAAAGTGGGATTTAGAAGAAGAGTGTGAAGAGTTGAAGAGATATTTTAGTACTTTGGATATTGTAGCTCAGAGGGTGTTGAAGATAAAAGTTTGTGATCTAACATATTCATCCACAACTTTAATGTGTCCATCGCCGGTGAAGAACAAGTCAAAGAGGGGAGTTAAGAAGAGTAGGAAGTGTCAAGAGAGTGATGTTCATCGTGATCTTAGCCAGTGAGAGTATGTTGAGGCTTTACAAGGGAGTCAGACAACAAAGAGATCATACATAAGACCAACTGGAAGTCAAACGTCAAGTATGTTGGTTCGTAGCCAACCGTCCACCAAATCTTGAAGATATGTTTACTTATCACAATTTTTTGTTTTCTTATATTCATACATCGATGACATTATTGATGTTGGTATAATGAAAATTATGGTTTTCGTTGTATTTCATCTTTATTAGGATGGGACGGAGAGTTATGACATTTGATTTGGAGACACTTAGATGCTCAAGTTCATCAACACTCTCAATTATTTTCCAAATTTTTCTATGACATTGTCTCTACAATTAGGAATGTGTTATGGTTAGAACACTTGGGAGTGCAGGGTGGGTAAAAATAGATGACAATTTATGATATGGGTTACTCTATTTCTTCTAGATATAGTGTCGTATTTGTTTCCCTTTCCATGAGACTTAACATCACATTTTTCCTCTTGTCTTAGCTCCACACTTATGTATAAGATCATCCATAAAATCAGTGTTGTTGGTTTTGTCAATGATAATCATTGGGTTCGGGTAAAGTTAAAACTTGATTGCTTATTGCCTCCCGTCACTGACCGTTGGAGAACAAATTGTACTAATGATGAAAAATCATGAGAATCAACATATATGGGTCACTTTAGACATTAGAAAGACCAGTGTAGAAAGTCATTATAGTTTGAATAGTTATTATTAAAATATTATTTTAGATATTTTATTAAAAAAATTAAATATCAAAATTTTAAAAAATTATTTAATTTTGAAGTTATTTCAAACATCTTTTCATAAAAATTATTTTTGAAATACAATATTTTGAAAAAAATTTGCGATTTTAATTATGTTTTGATATTTAATAATATATATTTATATTATAGAATATGAAAATTGATCTTTTAATTTAAAAAAAATAAATATAATTGTTTTATAATACATATTATTTTACTCCCTCCCTTTTTTTAATAAGTCGCTTTAGTCTTTTTACACGTACATTTACTAATTTTATAAATATATTATAGGATATTTCAATATTATCCTTTTAAAGCCACACTCAATTTTTTTTCTTTCAAATTATGTTAAATTAATCATTGTGATTTGATAATAAAATATTTAAATTTAAAATATAAAATAAAATAAAATTTACTTTATCTTTTTCTCTCTCAAACTAAAATCCATGATTTTTTCTCTCAAACTAAAAATCCATGATTCTTTCCCTCTCAAACTAAAAATCCACGATTTTTTCTCTCAAACTAAAAATTTTTTTCACTCGTTCCTTAATTTTCTCTCTCAAAATAAAATCGATGATTTTTTCCCTCTAAACAAAATTAGAATACAGTAAGGGAAAAACAATAATTACATGAATTTTTTATATGGATTAATCGTTATGATTTGATTATAGAATATTTAAATTACAATTATTTCATCAATAAAAAATATATGTGTGATTTTATTACCATTATAAAAAAAAAAACTTCTTACTTTATTACCATTATTAAAAAAACATACAAATTTAAAAATAATTAAATTCACTTTATTATTTTCTCTTTTGAATAAAGTCATTAAAAGTATTTTTTATCCTCATTCCTTATTTTATAATTTTTTCATTTTATAATTTTTCTCCTTCTTGAATATAGTTATTATACGTGTTTTTTCACTTTATAAAAAATATAGACTTATTTATTAGTATATCATCTTCTAATAAAAAATTTAATGTGATTTTCAAAGAAATATTTTATATTTTATACTAAAAATTATATATTAGTACGTTAAAAATAAATAAATAAATAAATATATAAATATATATATATATATATATATATATATATATATATATATATATATATATATATATATATATATATATATATATATATATATATATATATATATATATATATATATATATATATATATATATATATATATATATATATATATATATATATATATATATATATATATATATATATATATATATATATATTTATAAATAGTTTGAAAATTTTAAATAATATTATAGTTTGAATAGTTATTATTAAAATATTATTTTAGATATTTTATAATTTTATTAAAACTTTTTTAAATATCAAAATTTTAAAAAATCACTTAATTTTGAAATCTTTTTAAATATTTCTCAAAAAGCAAATTTTAAAATATAATATTTTTTATAAATTATAATTTCGACTATGTTTTGATCTTAAATAATATATGTTTATATTATAGAATATAAAAAAAAGATATTTTAACATAGAAAAAATGAATATAATTTTTTTTTTAATATTTTAAAAAACGATTATATAAATCCACTCTTGAAAGTACAAATAATATATTTTTTTTAAAACCAAAACAAACCAACACTAATTCATATAAGAATCTATTAAAGTCTATCGAATTTTAAAACATTAATAGACTTTTTATAAATTTTAGATATCTCAAGTGTATGCCAACAAAATTTCATCATACTAATAATTAAATATTTCAAACAGTCATATAAGTTGGCAAATATAAATAATTATTATTAAAATATCATAAAAATAAAAAAATTTAAGGAATAGATATCCACTAGTAAATTACATTCATAGAAAAATATCATAAAAATAAAGAAATTTAAGGAATGGATATCCATTAGTAAATTACAAAGATATTCCACCATATTCCAAATCATCGTCTATGTTTAATATATTGAATATACATTCACACATACGTTTCTTCACTTATCTTATTTTTATATATTTAGACATGATATCATATACAGGATCACTTACCTAATTTTTAATTATGAATATATGGTAACAATAATAATAAAATATTTGTTGTTTGATTTCAACCAATGAAATCATCAATAGACTGTTTAATAGAAAAACAAATACTCAATAATACCATAAAATACAATTGATTAAATGGAAATTCCACCATATTAATTGTATCTGATATAATACTACTCATTTATTTAATTATTACCGTTTTTATTTAATCACCTTACAGTTTTGATTTAATCCATGAGGAAAGATGATAGAATATAATCACAACTTTTTTGACCATATCTTTCCATTTTCTATTTATGTGTCCATGACCATGTACATTAATCCTCCCCTCTATAAAAAGGCACTAAAAACATAATAGTTGCATCAAAACATTATATCAAAACCATATATTAATAATGAGTTCACATAAAATTTTATTTTTCTTTTGTCTTTTTAGTTTCGTTGTTTGTTTTTGTGAAGCACTCAACGGTTTTAGTGTTGAATTAATCCATCGTGATTCTGAAAAATCACCGTTCTTTCAACCAAACCAAAATAAATATCAAAGTATTATCAATGCCGCACGTCAATCAATCAATCGTGCCAATCATTTTTACAGAACTGCTGCAAAAGATGCACCTGAATCAACCATACTCCCCGATGGAGGTACATATCTCATGACATATTCAGTAGGTACTCCACCATTTAAACTGTTCGGTATAGCTGATACCGGTAGTGACATTGTTTGGCTTCAATGCGAGCCTTGTGAAACATGTTTCAACCAAACTACTCCTAAATTTAAGCCAGCACAATCATCTACTTACAAAAACATTCCTTGTTCGTCTGACACATGTCAATCCGTGAGAAGTTCGAGTTGCGGCACTAAAAACAATTGTGAATATACTATTACATATGGCGATGGATCACATTCAGAAGGAGATCTTAGTGTTGATACAGTTACATTTGAATCCACTACTGGTGCTTCCGTTTCATTTCCTAAAACCTTGATAGGATGCGGAACAGACAACACCGTTTCTTTTGATGGCCGAAGCTCTGGTATTGTTGGCCTCGCTGGTGGACCGGCGTCTTTCATAACACAGCTAGGATCCACAATTGGTGGTAAATTCTCTTATTGTTTACCACCATCAACGCTCACATCAGGTCCTTCAAGCGTTACGAGCAAACTCAATTTCGGAGATGCTGCCATTGTTTCTGGTACTGGCGTTGTTTCAACTCCTATTATTACTAAGAATGCCGAGATTTTCTACTATTTGACATTAGAATCATTTTCCGTCGGAACTAAAAGAGTAGAATTCGCATCATCAACTAATGCTGTTGGTGAGGGTAACATCATCATTGATTCTGGTACAACATTAACGCTTCTACCGTCCGACATTTATTCTAATTTGGAATCAGAAGTTGCAAAAGTAGTGACACTTGAACGTGTTGACGATCCTGATGATTTATTTAGTCTTTGTTATACTCTTACATCCGAAAAACCTGAATTTCCTGTAATCACCGCGCACTTCGAAGGCGCGGATGTTGTGTTGCAACCTATTAGTACTTTTGTTCAAATTACTAATGAAATTGCTTGTTTTGCGTTTCGACCCGCTCAAGATCTTGCCATATTTGGAAACTTGGCGCAACAGAATTTGTTGGTTGGTTATGATCTTGAAACAAAGAAGCTGTCGTTTAAACCTACTGATTGTTCTAAAGAGTAAACGAGTCTTGTAGACTTTGTAATAAAAGTTAATTCACGTTTGTATCTGTTTGTGTTATGTCAACTATTATCATACACGATCACAAGAAATGTCCAATAAATGTTATTTTATTTTATAATTAATAAAAAACTTACTTTTAATTAAAATCTATTCATCTTTGCCGTGACAGTCTGAATTCTAGCCTGAATTTCTGAATTTTATTGAAGTTTCTAGATGCTCATCCTTATTACTTTTTTTGTTTTGTTGTTTTTTTTCTCTTTTGATTTGTGTAGTTGAGGTGGCCTATTTAACACTCCTTGTTTCATTTACCTATAGAATACTCTCATGAATTATTATAATTATTAAAAACTATATTTAAGCCATAGGAAATTAATTTCTTAACGGCTAATATATATAATATTTTTACTAAAAATATAATCACATAATTTATAAAATATAAAAATTCTTAGTATATAATTTCAAACATACTTACAAGGCAATAATACGTCATTGATCTTTGGCTTTGTTTGTCTTCTACCATAAAGAACACCAATAAATACCATTTATGGACATAAAATCATAATCATTACAAAATTGAATCAATTTTAAATTAAAAGATTACAGTCCATATAATGCGCTTATCATAAAAACGAATCATTAAATGCATGATATGTGACTATTAATATAAACTCATTAATGCATAAACAAATTAAACATTATAAACACAAATTTAGGTGCGAGAAAAATTTGAAATGAGTTATTTTTGTTATAAACACAATCATCATAACTATTGAAAAGGTCAGTGACCAACCTGTTTTCACTCAAAACAACAAAATTATATCCACAAACTAATTAACTACATATTATTTTTACATCATTTCCTTAATATTGTGAGGTCTCTAATCACTTGTCAATAATTCACCATTCCAATCAAATCCGCTATAATCTGATATAAATTACTTTGCTTAAACATATCAAAGACCTTTATTCAATCCCTTATTTATCATCATGTGCAAGTTATGAGTCTTATTTTCTCTTATCCATAGATCACATCACAAGCAAGAGATTACTTTGTTTTTGTTTTTTGTTGTCATTTTTGAGTAAATAATTTAAGAAAGAACAAAATGTCATTCACAGGAACTCTTGATAAATGTGCAGCTTGTGATAAAACTGTTTATGTTGTTGATTTGTTAACTCTTGAAAATATACCTTACCATAAAAGTTGCTTCAAATGCAGTCACTGCAAGGGAAATCTTACCGTATGTGCTTTAATCATATTCTTCTTTACTATCATTTTATAATTTCTATGTCTTCTGTTAGTATATTTGGTTGAATGTATCTGAATTCTGTGCGCAACTGTAAAAACTAATCTCTTATATGTTGGTCAGATGAGTACTTACTCGTCAATGGACGGTGTCCTCTATTGCAAGACACATTTTGAACAGCTTTTCAAGGAATCAGGAAATTTCAGCAAGAATTTCCAAAATGGTAATTAAGCTGTAAAACATTTTTTGGTATCATTATTTTTGTTTAGTTATAATCATGTTTGTTAAGCATAAATTGATATGCACTTGTCAATTTTTGTTGATTTTGGCTAACATGTCATATGTTGTTTTTCATGGCTGAATTGTGGCAGCAAAGGCTTCTGAGAAACAAAATGAGTCTATGGTATGTTCACTATCCAACCTTATATATGCAGTCAAGATTGAAATTGTGACGCCGTTATGAAATAGTTAAAATCTTTTATACTGCGACTGCAATTTAAAACCATGATGTTGTTGAGTGTTCTTAAATATTGTTTAACATATCTTTTATAATGTTGTTCATTTACAGAATAGGGCCCCCACCAGAATGTCCTCTATGTTCAGTGGAACTCTAGACAAATGCTCAGTTTGCACAAAAACAGTCTATCCTTTGGAAAAGGTTTGTAACATCATCAAACTCAATTTCATTGTTAAAATCTCTCAGAGTGTGCAAAACGGACTACATTGTTAACAATAGTCTCGTAGCAGATGTCATGTTTAAATCATAATTAAATAGTGTTCTTATTTATTTTATCACGGTTTAACCATAGCAAACCAACACATTCTTATTTATTTTATCACGGTTTAACCATAGCAAACCAACACATTCTTATTTATTTTATCACGGTTTAACCATAGCAAATCAACACATTCTTATTTATTTTATCACGGTTTAACCATAGCAAATCAACACATTCTTATTTATTTTATCACGGTTTAACCATAGCAAACCAACACATTCTTATTTATTTTATCACGATTTAATCATAGCAAACCAACACATTCTTATTTATTTTATCACGGTTTAACCATAGCAAATCAACACAGGATCTCTAAAAACGTAAGACGACCCTGACCCTGATTGAAGTAAACTAATTATAAAACTTTTGTTTCGTGAAATAGATGTCATTGGAAGGAGAATGCTACCACAAGACTTGCTTTAGGTGTGCTCATGCAGGTTGCCCCCTTACACATTCTTCCTATGCTGCCCTAGATGGTGTCCTCTATTGCAGGCACCATTTTCAGCAGCTTTTCATGGAGAAAGGAAACTACAGTCATGTACTTCAAGCAGCTGCAAACAGAAAGAATGCTACTCCACCTCCTGAACCAGCTGAGCCAGCTGATGATAATGATGATGATGTTGAAACAGCAAAGACGGCTGATGGTAATGAACCATCAAAGCCAGAAGAAGAAACTGAGACAAAGACAGAAGAAGAGTCCGAAACACATGAAACTTGAATTGCTTCCATCCCCTTTTGATTGAAATTCAGTATCTAACATTTGTTTACAAAATAGTTTAATTAATCGTAAGGTAATTTGAGAGGTTTATTTATGTATTCAGAGAAAGAGTTGTTCAATATATACAATGTATTAATTCTTTTATTGCTTTTGTTGGAGGTTATTAGTCTCCTGTAGTGATTTCACTACCATGTAATAGTAACTTGTAAAGTAAGATAATTTAATATTGTCGATAAATTTATCTGTTTGTTAACTTCTACTAATTCAGGTAGCAGAGAGAAAGAAAAAAAAAACAAAAGTGCAATTAGGGAATGATAATATATTGAGAATGAAATTAATAATACAAGGGAAGTCTCCTAAAACCTAAACTCTAATTGCATGCATACTATTGGAGAATGTCGGAAGCAACAACAGACAAATGATTCAGGACTAGCACAAGATCGGGATACAACACGCACAAGATCGGGATACAACACTCGTACCCTAAATTATAAAGTTGAGTAGAAATATGGTGTCAAAGTCTCTTGAGAGTTTTAGTCATTAGTTCATTATTGCTCTTAACACTCACTTAGATTCTCCAACAAACAAGTATTATAAGAACCGTGTTTAGGCAAGATGGAGAAAGAAATTATTCAGAATGTTATGTTTTGTCCATTTGCCTGGTGTGATTAAAGGGACAATATCACTACAAGACACAATCTAAATATCATGTTTGTTGAGTGTGTAGTTCTGTGTCGAAACAGTATTCGACAGAGTGTACTAAATATATTTCACAAAGAGTCGAATATAGTAGGTAGTTGTCGAAATATGGTGTTGCCAAAGGAGTGTGCGTTGACAGAGTTAGACTTAGCAGTTATTTTGTTTTGTGTATTAGCTGAGTTAGTTAGTTAGAGTTTGTTTGGTGAACAAGCAACACTACTACAAATAATTTTTTTTATGACACAGCTTTCACCTCAGATATTAAAAAGTCGAAACCATGTTTTATTTTTTAAAAAACAATCTTGTTCCCTTGATTTTCAAAAGAAGAGCTTCAAGGGACGCTTGAATCTCATGAATAAAGGATGGCTGAAAGATCTCCGAGCAAGGTGAAAAGTGATATAGCTTTGTAGGCGTAATCAGTAAAAGAAAATAAAGATAAAGGTAGATGGAATGGTAACAAAGGAATATGAGGTTACAACAATTTAAATGGTAGAGGTAATCAACAAGAGGGAAATTGGTCGAACCAGAGAAAACCCTTAAACCAGAGCAACCACAGAGGTGGTGTTGCAGGTAGAGGAAGAGATGGTGGAAGAAAATCTGATAAGAGTCATATTCAATGTCACAATTGTCAGAATTGGTCACTACTCTAGAGATTGTCTTGAAATAAAAGAAATCAAGAAACAGATGCAAGGCTGGAAAAACACGAAGAAGAAGAAGAAGAGATGTTGTTGAGGATCATAACGAGAGATAAAGAAAGATTCAAGGACCAACGGTACTTGGACTCAAGATGTTCATCACACATAACTGGAAGGAAAGATCGGTTTGTCAACATAAGTCCCTCGATGAAAAATAAAGTGAAATTCGCAAATGACAATACCCTAACAGTTGAAGATATTGTTAATGTTCTGGTCATGAGGAAAGATGACAGAAGATCAGTAATTTCCAATGTATAGTACATACCAGGCATGAAAAGTAACTTTCTCATCATAGGGCAACTGATCGAGAAGAATTACAAAGATAAAATGATGATAGTTCTTGACTTATATGGTAAATTAATCTTGAAGGCACTCATGTATCAGAACAGAACCTTCAAGATTGAACTAAATATGATGGAGCACAAGTGTTTGGAAAATACAACTAGAAGGGATGAATGGATATGACACTACCGACTTGGCCATCTCAACTTCAAAGACATTGGAGAACTGAAGAGGGGAAGCATGGTTTTAGACTAACCAAAAATCGACATTCCAAATGAAGTGTGTGAAGAATGTGTTCAGGCAAAGTAGCACAAAAATAGCTTCAACAAGGATGCAAGAAGCAAGTTAAAGGAAAATCTTGAAGTGAAATACTCATATGTGTGTGGTCCTATCCATGTGGATTTGATTGGAGGTAACAAATACTTTGTCACATTCGTAGATGATTTTAGTCGAAAATCATGGACTTATATGATCAAGAAGAAAAGTGATGCCATCTATGTATTCACTAAGTTCAAGGTTATAGTGGAGATACAAAGTGGTTAAAAGATCAAAACTCAAAGAACTGATGGTGGTGGAGAATATGTGTCGAAATATTTTGATGCATTTTGTGAGAAAGAATAGATTGTGCATGAGGTGGTGCCACCCCACACTCCTCAGCAAAATGGAACTACATGGAGGGAGAATAAAACTATCATAAATATGGTGAGAAGTATGTTGAAAGACACGCATTTACCAAATAAGTAATGGGTGAGGATGTGTCGACTGCAACATACATCTTGAACTGATGTTTGACTAAGAAGCTAGAAGGAATCACACCAGAAGAATATTGGTTTGGTGATAAGCCTAGCTTAAGTCATCTGAAGGTGTTTGAATCCATGGCACATAGACATGTGTCTGATCAGTTGAGAATGAAACTTGATGACAAGTCGAGTCAAATGGTCCTGATAGGATATTATTCGACTGGTGGAAAAAAACTGCTCGACCCAGTGAACAAGAAATTTATGATCAATAGAGATATGATCATAGACGAGCTGAAGGAATGAGATTGGACTGAAAACTTTAAGAAAGATTTAGTTAGAATTTTATTTGATGAACCAACTAGTGAAACTAATAGTGAAGTTCGACAAGAAGAAGTCAGAGGTCAAGCAGGCACAAGTAGAACTCAAAGAACAAGAAACATGCCTGCAATGTTGCATGAATGCGTGATTACATCAGATGATGTGGTCAATGATGAAGGTGAGTTGGTACACTGTGCTTTCTATGCAGATACTCAATTAGACAATGTAACTGAGGCATTGAAGTAGTCAAAGTGGGTACAAGCAGCAAATTAGGAACTGAATTTGATAAAAGTTAACAACACTTGGTCACTAGTCGAATTTCCACAAAGCAATAAGGAAATCAATGTGAAGTGGGTATACAAGGCGAAGTTGAATCCCAAAGGAAAAGTAACCAAACATAAGGCAAGACTTGTAGCTAAAGGATTTCTTTAGAGAGAAGGAATCGACTTCGACGAAGATTTTGCACTAGTTGCTAGGATCAAAATAATCAAATTGTATTATTATTTTTAGGATTAAATATATTTTTTGTCTATACAAAATTATAAATTTTGACTTTAGGTCCTTATAAAAAAATCACATTTTAGTTCTTACAAAATTATTTATACACATAATTTTAATTCATATAGAAAGACTAAAACATCATGCAAAAGTAATTTTATAAAAGACTAAAATATGACATTTTTTTATAGAGATTAAAAGTCAAATTTAAGATATTTATAAGAATAAAAATATATTTAATTTTATTTTTATTTAATTTTAATTTTATTTTAAATTATTTATAAATCATAAAAATAATCAATGTTTTAAAATCCAGCCCGATCCGATCGGTCGGACCGGTCTGACCGAGAATCGGTGGGCCAGACGATCCGATTAAGGGATAAGACCGAAATTACATTTAGACTGGATAAAACCGGTGTGAACCGGCCGGATCATCGGTTAAACCAGTGAACCGGCGGGTTTGACTATTTATTTTATTTTTTAGGGTTTTTGAAAAAAAAATTAATATAAACGCTTTGTCTCCTCGTTTCCCAAACCTAGGCATTTGAAAGATTTTCTTTTTTATTCTGTTTTTTCTTTTTCTAATTGAAGTCATATTCTCAATTTTCTCTACCAACAAAAACTCCCACTTGCTGCTGTTATTTGATATTCCTTGTTTGCCGTCAAAAATTTCATCAAAACATCAAAAACAAATTATTTCTTTTTTACTTGGTCTAATTTGCATTGATGTTTTTCAATATGAATATTATTGTTTCATTTTGTTGATTAATTGATATAGAAAATAAATGATTAAATTTGGTCATTTTCTATAAAATTGAGTCTTTTAGTTTAACAAATTGAGATAGAATTTGTACGAATGAAACAGTTTTATACTTTTATGAATTAACTTATTATAGACTGGTAATGAAGTTGTTGTATATTGGAGATAAAAATTGGGATAGATATATATTACTGTAATAGTCGTTGTATATATTATGGAGATAGAAATTGGGTTTAAACTATGCAATCTAAATTATATAGTAAGACAAAGTTTTCTGTTTTTTATTAATTTAAATTATATAACAAAGAAAAGTTTCAGGATTTTATTAATCTAAAATATATAGCAAAGGTTGGAAAGCAAAGTTTCTATTTTTTTATTATATATGGTGATGCACAGTAACGATGCTTGGTAGCCTATATGTAATATACAACAACATATTCATATATTTTGGATTTAGATATACTACATATTTAATGTTTCTTATAATATTTTTATAAATTCAATAATTTTTGTTTAGAATTGTGTTTTGTTAATATTTTTGTAATATAGTTTTGTATTTTTAAATTTTGATTGATATTAGATATGGCATCACCCGCTGAAGTAATAACTTCGGAAGAAGTTACATCTCAAAATCTAACCCAATTCCAGAGCAGTAGGGGAAAAACCGATATAGCTTAGGGTCATTGTAAACAAATTGAAGAGAAAGGAAAACTTGTTAATTTGTGTATTTACTGTGATAAAATTATTAGAGGAGGGGAGATTAATAGGTTCAAATTCCATTTGGCTGGAATAAAAGGTCAAGTTGAAACATATAAAAAGGTGCCTCCAGATGTTCAATATCAAATGAAACAAAATCTTGATGAAGGTGCAAATAAGAGAAGAAAGACTCAAGCACAAAATTTTGATGTTGATCTTACTACTCAAGAGGGTGGTGTAGTAGAAATGGATGTAGAACAATCAAGATCAAATTCGGTGGTTGTGTCTCAAAAGAGAAAGAATACTAGTCGT